GACGAAGTGCATTTCGGAGACAATTTGATTCTCAGTGAAATGATACTTATGGCGTTGCCCCTGCAACGTTTCGAAGGGATCTAAAAGCATTGGCAATGTTTCTGCCAATTAATTCATAACTGCTTATGACCAACGTGAACATGAATAAGTGTAGTAGTTATTATATATTAAATATTGATGATTATTCATCAGTTGTCCATAAAATTCGAGTGTATTTTTAGATCTCATGCCACAGCCTCCTTCAGCAAAATCTAATTATGCTTACATAGGCTGTAGCTAGCGCCACTAAATGGTTAGAAGTTTATTTATTTGATTTAGCTTCTATTTTTTACAGTTAATCAATATTACTTTCTCCTATTTCTTTATCTACAGGCTGATCTTGAACGCTTGCAGGGATATGGTTACATTCCGAGCCCACGCTGCCGATGTCCGTTACCGTATAAAAGGACCGCGACTGAGTGGGAATCTGGTTTTTTCCTCTGGCACGCCGATCGCTCAAGCTAAGGAATCCTCGTCATCGTCCCTCTGCTCAATATCGGATCCCTACTCGTCGTCGTCCCTCGTCTCAATATTGGACCCCTGCTTCGCGATTGTCAGCAATATCGGACTCGTCCCTCTTGTATCGCCGCAATAAAGGACGAGTACGTGGAAGATTCTGGTGTCAACTATAGATCGTATATAATAAATATTAGTGGTACTTTTGTCTGGTACCGTCCAATTTAGAACCCGCGTGGCACACAGACAGGCGAGCACGGGAAAGACAGGAGTTACACCACTGGGTACAACCACATTGGCTATGAAGAGGGCACAACGTGTAGTAACTTATAAGCGAATCATGCCAACCCTACTTGCCTTCTTCAAGTTCAAAGTGTGAAAAGAAAGGAGTCATGTTTTCACGCTATAACTCAAGAATTTCTACTAAGCCCAAGCCGATCAAAGCCTTGAGGAACATCTGCTTTGCGATACATACAGGGTGGTCCAAAATTATGAGGACCGCGTGCGCGCGCGGTCATATCCACTTTTTTCCGAGTCGCTCCATTTTCATCTCCTTTTCTGTGCACTATGTGAGAGGGTACAATGTCTTCTTCCTTTGAAACCAAATTTCATGCAGTTCTCAAAACTAGTGAAATAACAACACCTCCTTATGTCATTCCTCAAATTGAACTCACTAAGGGCTCTGGCACGTTACATCTAGCAGTTAGGGCAACAGTTCAACTCTTCAATAAGTTTGGAACCACCACAGATGGAAAATTCGGGGACTCGAAAGTTACAGTTACCACCAGGACAATTATCAGATGCAGAAACTTGCTCTCCCCTTGTCGACTTTCGTACTCCCAAAATGAAAAAATGATGTGAAAACCCAGCCAGGCACTCTAAAGACTCCACATCTATAGTGGATAGGAAGCCACTTGAGTACCATACTTGGGACGTTTTACTGGACCGAGCACCCAAGAATAGAGCAAAAATTCTCTAAGAAGCTATTTTTCGAGTTTGTTGCTCTCGAAGAATTGTTACAATGGAACCCTCCACCTAACAGCTCTAGAATTCTGTATTTTACACCCTGGAGACATGGGTAAATGAATGCCCACACAAACGTTGATCCCTGAAGAAAGCAGAGCAGAAGGCCTGGAAACATTTTGACACGCCTCAGTTGCGTGCCACCGCACGCGCCACCCCCTTCGTCTGAAGGCTCGTGTAAACGCGGCAGGTGGCAGATCTCAATTCTATTCTGGAATTACTTTGAGATACTAGTTGCAAACACTTCCCTGTAGTTTGTTTGCTCCATCAAGCTACTATGCGTTTTTAACGACACAATGTCTTGGTCCTCATAATTTTGGACCACCCTGTATAAATCTTCCTTGGTCAGTTGCCAGCCTTGTGATATCAGAATATATGGATCTTTTCTGCGCAGAAAACTACAGCCTGGAGAAAACCCTACTTCAGAAAGGTCATTGATGTCGGATGTGGACAGGATGCGCTTTCTCGTTGGAGCCAATCCACACGGTATAACGTGCTGTGTGATGACCACACCCTAATGTTTTAGAGGTACAGTTTAAGAGGTCCTCGCTCCCTCGTGAACAGTTTGAAGCCTTGCTGAAGATTCGGCTTCATTCTACTGAGATAGCCTATTTGGCAGCAGGCTTGCCGTCCCCTGAAGGCCATACATAATCCACTGCCCCATCAAGCTTCTAGGAAAGTTCAGAAAGTTTCAGACTATGGAATCGATTTCTCCGATTAATGCAAAACCATGCGATAGCGGCAAAACCATTGGCGTGATGAATCATCTCGAGCACGGCTGCAGCAATCCGTAAATGTGATAGTTTTTGGTGAGATACAGAAACATTTTATCGTAAAAACCACATTTTACCACATTTACGCTTCGCATTCGCATTTCGTCAGCATGATTTCCTGCCGAAAAACATGCAAATGGGCCAAATTTTGTTCCCACATCCGTCGCAGCATAAATAGGCCGATCGGCAGGTGTATGGCATCAGTTCAGTGGGATTCGAAATGTTATTCTACCTTGTATGTGCGCTTTTCCTGCTCAACGCCTTTACAACTGAGGTGCAGGGCAATGAGGTAGGTTACTATACGACGAGGATAACCCCATTTTTTATTCTCAGTGTGAGAAATAAGGTTCCCAACCCAACTTTCAGTGAATCCGTCTTTTTCAGCCGTGCCAGGATCAAGGAGGCGAGCAGTTTTGCTTTGGCCCGCACAGACTAGGATTTTGCGACAAACCCGACTTCCAGCACATTGCGGAGTATTACTGTGCCAAAACGTGTGGCAAATGCCACTGAACTTGATGAGGACCCTCAAATAAAGATAATAGAATCGTTCCTTGCCTTTTTGCTTCACCTTCTTACCTTGACAAACATATGGATGTGTGCTAAAACTATACAATACTTTGCACAAAAAATCGCTGTAACTATGACAGGCGATTAGTACGCAGCTCCCACGCCATTCACGAACGGTGAGACAGTTTCAGGGGTGTGAATAGAGTCCTCTCGGTAGAGTCAGAGAAGGAGGAGGTGGAGGTGTAAATGGTGCGTTTCGCCACTAGTGACCGATTGAGGAGTTCAATCCACACGATCGATCCCCTGTGGTTGTTAGGCAGATTGAGGCCCTTCCAGATTGCGGTGGCAGGTGTCTGGATTGGAGGGAATTTCTTTTCTATTCCGCCCGTAGTTTACTTCAATGAAGGCTTTTCGTAGGCCGAAGCAATGTCTCGATAAGGAGTTTTAGAATGCCCTCAGCGCCTCTTTGGGCTCAGAGGAAAACGCTTGCATGCAGGGACATCAGCCGAGCAAAAGTGACGACATTCTTGTTGAATGTTCAGATTTTCTTTTAAATAGGCTCAGGAAATTACCTACATAAATCCATAGAAAGTCAAGCTTTGACATTATTTTGAGAGATTCAGTGGGAGGATAGGATGAGAATAAACATCACGTGTCCTGGACGAGGCCACTCCGCGTTGACCGACGGAATCTTCGAGTACCAATTAGAAATGCCGGGAACGACCGCGAACGTAATTCCTGGTTGCCGGCCAGTTCTCTTGAACTTAGCGAGTGTCTAAGTGGATGGGAAACTTTTTCAATGAATCCAAAGTCCTCACTTTAACGAATCGGAAGAATTGATGAAAAATGAAACGAGTCTCAAGCTGAATTGTAGAAATGAATGAGATCATGCGATTTGCGCCCTCCCTGTAGGCTGTCACATTAATTTTCACCCCTTTCGGAGCGAAATCTAAGAAAGGAAAAGATGTCTCAGTATTTGGCATTTGACCTGGAAACAGACTGATACCATTCTCTACCTTTCAGGTTTGAGATGCTTCCAAGCACAACCGAGCGTTATTGGAATCCTCCCAGGAAATTCTTGCATTTTTCCCCCGAAAAAATCCTAAATCTACCAGTTGTGTGGTCATTACGGAAGACGCATTTCGCGCACGAAGATTTGGTTGTTTCGAGGGAACCCATCTTTCGAAAACCACACTCGTGTGAACATCGAAGAAAGTCCGCGCGAGCCAGTGACAGCATGGAAAGAATTACAGCTTGGTGGCTGCGTGTCAGGCGGCGCAGTGAGGAATCTAGTTAAAGGGTTTGATTTTGAAGAAAAGGACAAAACGATCGATAGAATATGATGCTAGTAGAAATGTAAGATGTCAGTGCAATAAGTTAGAAGACCAAAAAGAGTTTTCAGTAAATGCGGGTTGATCCAAATGGGAAAGCGTTTCTCTGCCAGCATTTGTGGTAGATGCCGCTAGGTTCGAAGCTTCCGTCTTTTGAAATTATTTGTCATAACAGAAGCATTTTTTCTTTTTTCCTGTTCTTATCGTGGGCGATTTCTCTTGCCAGTGATTAATAGTGAGATAGAATCATGATTTTTTCCGGAAAGGATTCCGTTAATCACGATTCTGAATCAAGGATCTCTCTCAAAGGGCTTCTGACATATTGAAGTATTTGCTAGCCCGTAAACCGAAACTTTGCAGAAACCTGGGCGGCCGTGAACGTGGTTTGAACTCCCCCGTGCTGCGACCTGCGCGCTGTCGGGTTATTTTTGTTAGACATTGCCTCCATCCGTTTTGATAAGGGTTTTCACTGACTGCAGGAAATTTCGCAGGGATTTAACATGGTCCGAAATATTGTAGAACTTTTTTCTACTTTCTAACCGTTTTTGAAAGACTGCCTTGACGACTATTGTCGAGTAATTTCACACATGCGATTTTACAGTTCAAACCCAAAGCGAGTAGGATGATTCGGTGAATTTACTAGCAAAGCAACTGAAAAATCTAATTCCCTTGATATCCCATGAAATAAATCTAGATTATTTGGCCTGTGCCTAGCACACGGTAAGTGCGGCGTCACAGGGGCTCACACTGACGTCGAAGGCGTCTTCTACGAGCAACTCACGTTTGCTACAAATAGTAATATAATACCGACCATCCCGAATCATTCTTCTTCATTCTTCCTTAACAGCAACCCTATCTGTATCTAAATTCAAACCCAAAAATGAGTCCTGACTGACTGACTCTCCGCGTACTCTGATCCTAAGCACTACCGTCCAGTAAAGTCGAAGCTAGGTTAGGACAAGATTGCGAACTCTATAACTGCATCGAATAATATATAATGCGTTCCTTTGCGCTGAATGAAATGTGTTGCCCCAATCGCGACATGAAATTCTCTAAAGCGATGCAAAACCGTAAATGAATGACAAACTCAATCCCTCCAAGGGATCAAAGACGCGAAAGGAGCGAGTCCCCTTTGCAAAAACATAGCTTCATCGCAATGAAGAAAGCCATCAGAGAAATCCTATGACTATTTAGCCCAAGACGCAGTCAAGATATTTGTTTCCAAACAAAGACACACGATTTCCATGAAGAACCTTATTTGTCCATTCAAACTGTGCAAACCAGGCTGACATCAAAGCCAACATTTGGGTCGTCCGACCTTTCTCATTGATCTTCCTCGGACGTTGGCGACTCACTCTGGTCTGCCTGAGATAGAAGCGGTACAAACCGGTTCTGTTTACGACCTATATTTGCACCCTTTACGTCAATCCTTAGACCTTATCAAAACGGAAGGAAATGACATCAGTCAAACACAGTATTTTTTGATGTGCACCCAAGTGACGGTTGCGGGGTTCACTTTGAGGTTGCAGTACTGTTAAAAAAGATCAATTGGTGAATGTAGCCGGTTCTATTCAGGCTCAATTGTCCGTTGATAGTCACTCAGTGAAGAGGGGTTGCACATGGGGTCTTTGGGAGTGGAAAGGCGATGTTGGGATTGAATTCGTGTGTGTCACTTGTGTGTCTTGCGCCAGAAATACAAAAGTCATGGTAGTGGAGCTGGTGGGACCGTGGTGATGGCTGCCGATGGGATCATCCGAGAGGTCGTCTTAAGTAATTTACCAAATCACGGTTGACTCTGGTTTCATCCCTCCATAGAAATATCAACTAATCTACGAACACTTTTCTCGGCCAGAAAGTGAATCGATCAGAGAAAAACAAATAATAATAACGAATAACCTAAATCTTCTACAGCAGTGGATAGAGGGACGGCCGCAGACTTTTTGCCAGTCAGGATCGTGTTACACCCAGTGTGAGGGAGGGAGGCGTAAGAGCCGTTATCAGCAGTGATTAGAGCAGTAGTAGCTTGCTTCGGAGTGAAAACGCAGAAGCCGGATTTTTTAGTGGCAGGTAGCGGCGTCTTTGAGCGAGTTCCACCAAAGTCATTGCGTCACAATTCCCTGCTACCCTGCAATACATCATGGCGACGTCCGACAAGAGGTCCGCAGAAGGTAGTTTTTAAACTCACAAGAGGTATCCTACGTGATAGATTTCCTGTGATTGTGCACAGCTTTGAGTGTAATGAAATAAATAAATAAATAAATAATCCATTGCACAAGAAGAAGTGCAGATTCCATCGTTAGCTTTCATAAGCATTCGATCTATTTGAGTGATTATGAAAGCGGTGTATGACTCCTACGGCCTGTCAGAAACAGGGCTTCGACTCGCGAAAGCTTTTGCCATTTTTGTTCACATGAAGCGTGGTTCAGAGTCCATGAAAGATAACTATGATCGCGAAAGGACATCCAAACGAAACAGGACGAAGGAGACGCCTCGGCGGTGCAGCGCTTGGACAAAAATTCTAATGGGGTTAATCTCGCCATTCTGGATGGAATTGTTATCGAAAAGATTCAAATGAACACAACATTTAAATTAGAGCTGATCATCTATTTAAAACCCACAATCTCTATTAAACTTATCTAAAATATATGCATTTGAGGAGAGTCCTCGCTCACAATTCTCCTCGTTATTTTTTAGGTCCAAGTCCTAAACGAAAGTCAATTTCGGGGATACTCGGGAGCCTGATTACGTCAATAATCATTAAACTAAAGCAATTCTTAGAATTTAGATGCCCTATAAAATTTGCTGCACTATTGCAACTGAGATAAGTAACGAATAATGAGTAATTGAGTAAGTTATGGCTTTTCAAGGTGCAACTCTTCGAAGTGCTTCTTGAGAGGTTTCCTCGTTATTTGCTCAAAAAAATAAGAATGTGACTTCTCTTATGTAAACTAATTGTCCTGAAAGTCAGCATAGGTTCAGGACTGAAGAGCAGTTCAAGAAACTTCCGAATCCTCTGTCAGATTAAAAATTCGTGTGAACAAATAGGGGTGAAAAGATTGGAAAAATTGCGAATGGAGCTCTTAACCTTGGACAACTATCTCTCCTCGGTGGACAACTATTTTGTCGAACTGTTCTAAGAAGCCGCACATAATTTCCCAATTTCACATAGCCTTCGCATATCATCGGTGCTGGACCAGTTCAGAAGCATTTGGGAAAATGGCACGGGGTCGACTCATTCGACAGAGTGAGAACAAGCTTCGGTCACGAATTCGTTTGCTCAGTGAATCATCCTGGAGTCCAATCAGAGCAATCCGTTAACAGATTAGTGTTTTATGAGATGTAAAATGGCATCGTAAAACCATACCCAATAGTATGTGCATAGAGCTTACCAACATATTAGGCTTGTGAAAAACATGCAATTGGGATACCTTTTTATTGTTCCCAAATCCCGAGAGAGCAGTATAAATACGACAGGCGCTGAGTGTGCATCAGCTCAGCGAAATTCAAAATGTTCTTCTACCTTGTCTGTGCACTTTTCCTGCTCAACGTCTTTACAACTGAAGCACAGGGCATTGAGGTAGGTAACTGTAGGGAACTCGAAAGGAGGTCCGTCGTGCGGTAAGAAGGCAGGGATGCGGACGAGTCGCAGCGCGTACTGTAGTGATTTCGCGT